CTCCTGTTTTCATCTGAAGATAAATGAGTGAAACCAAACACCTGCAGAGTTAGAGAGGACCGTCCCGAGTCCTCCGTCAGACGTGAGGAAGCAGAGGAGCGCAGCGACCGTCAGAGAGACGCAGCAGAGCGAGGGAGCAGAAAAAAATAAAAAAATAAAAAGCTGTGCCGCAGACCGAGAGAGACAGAGGAGCTCCGCATGAGAAACTTTACTGTTTCGGCCCAAACATCTTCTGGATTAAGCCAGAAATGAAAACTTGTCCGGTGAGTCTCAGGCAGAGCATGAAGAATCACCTCAGCTGACCCAACCGACAGAAAACAGGTCGAGCTGCTCCAGCTGCAGCCAGAACAGGCTGGCAGGAGGCAGTTTCTGCACCTAAGGTCAAACTGTGTCTCATTAGCTGCAGTTTAATATGAAATCATTTCTAGTGAAGAAAGTTCAACCAGGAAGCTTGTGAGGACGTTTGTTCACGTTCTAATCTCCTCAGCTTTAACTGGGCAGCTCTGAACTAAACTTTAATCATGACTTAAAGGAAAATAAGTGGGACAAATGCAGGTTTCTGCCTCGCTCGCTGAGTATTTTTGAGTCAACACACGCTGTTAGCCTGAGCACTCCGCTGGGGTATTTACACACCCAAGAGGCCCCTAAACAGTTCACACATTTGGACTTTGACTTCAGCCTGTCTGCCATAACGCCCTCGTTTTGTTTGACCTATATTTTCCCGCAGCTGCACGACTCTGTCGGGGAGAAACGGGGGTCAGGAGAGGCAGCAGAGCCAGATCCCGGCCCTGGATGTTGAGCCTGTTTATCATCACCCAACTCCAATAAGTTCCCAAAGCGAGCGTGTCGGTGCACGCTCACAGACACTTTGACCTTATCGCGGCGGTGTGAATGCGTGCGGTTAGCTCCGACCTGTGTCGTTCTGTCCTTGTAAAATTAAAACGTCCTCCCCTCACAGTCCAGAGGAACTGTCATGTCGATTCTCTCTGCCGCTCCTATCGGCACCGACAGAGGAACAAGTGGAGGCTGGAGGGAGCTGCCTGCTGGAGCCATGACACCATCGCTGACAACCTTTAAGACGTTTCAGCAGAAACCAGCTCGGAAATGTTTCCCATCATCTGTGGATACAAGTTTCCTACAAATGATTTGTTCAACACAGCAGCTTGCAGAAAGAGGTCAAACATCTGACTTCCTAGAAAGCACAGAAATCCTCAAACTGACACCTTAAAATATCTGATTATTTCTGATTTACTCTCATCAGAAGTCCGGCAGCACTGACGGTGAGATTACTGTGGATTAAAACAGAAAAAGATGCTTTCAACAACTTTTCTGTCAAACATTCATGCTTGGAGTCAACGTCTGCATCCTGCTGCACAAAAACACAAAGCTCGCTCAGCTCTGCACGGTTTTCACGCAGCTCTTAAACCTCCTCATCAGGAGCGTGTTGGACCTGGATCAGAGCTGACGTTAGAGAAAACATGACTTATAGATGAGCTCAGGGAGCAGCGGTGGTCGCTGTCCAAACATTTAATCTTTGAACTCAAAGAAATGCACCTCATGATTAATATTTAATGATTTCTTTCATATATTTATGAATGTTCAAATGTTCACAATTATGTATAAAAGCAACTCTTAGTTTCTTAGACACAATTAAAATAGCAGCGCTTTATATTTTAGTAACTATGACTCATTTAGTGCTGCTTTAAACTGTTATAAACGTTAACCTGATCATGAACGTTTCTCAGTCAGACTGAAATAAACTAGAAGCTGAACTATCCATCCATCCATCCATCCATCCATTTTCTTCCGCCTATCCGGGGTCGGGTCGCGGGGGCAGCAGCTTCAGAAGGGAGGCCCAGACCTCCCTCTCCCCAGCCACTTCTTCCAGCTCCTCCGGGGGAACCCCAAGGCGTTCCCATGCCAGCCGAGAGACATAGTCCCTCCAGCGTGTCCTGGGTCTTCCTCGGGGCCTCCTCCCGGTGGGACGTGCCCGGAATACCTCACCAGGGAGGCGTCCAGGAGGCATCCTTACCAGATGCCCGAGCCACCTCAACTGGCTCCTCTCGACGTGGAGGAGCAGCGGCTCTACTCTGAGTCCCTCCCAGATGACCGAGCTTCTCACCCTATCTCTAAGGGAGAGCCCAGCCACCCTGCGGAGGAAACCCATTTCGGCCGCTTGTATCCGGGACCTCGTTCTTTCGGTCATGACCCAAAGCTCATGACCATAGATGAGGGTAGGAACGTAGATCGACCGGTAAATCGAGAGCTTCGCTTTCTGACTCAGCTCTCTCTTCACCACGACGGACCGGTACAGCGCCCGCTTTACAGCAGATGCTGCACCAATCCGCCTGTCGATCTCCCGCTCCGTTCTTCCCCCATTCGTGAACAAGATCCCCAGATACTTAAACTCCTCCACTTGAGGCAGGACGACCCCCCTGACCCGGAGAAGGCACTCTGCCCTTTTCCGGCTCAAGACCATGGCCTCGGATTTGGAGGCACTGAGCTTCATCCCGGCCGCTTCGCACTCGGCCGCGAACCGCTCCAGCGAGAGCTGCAGATCTCGTTCRGATGAAGCCAACAGGACCACATCATCCGCAAAAAGCAGAGATGCGATCCTAAGGCCACCAAAACGGATCCCCTCAACACCTCGGCTGCGCCTAGAAATTCTGTCCATGAAAGTAATGAACAGAATCGGTGACAAAGGGCCGATTATTATAAAAACATAAAGATGCAGATTGTGTTAAAGATGCATCAACTTGTCAGACAGTTGTTTTAAAACTGTTCTTATGTGTTCAAACTCTAATTTGCTCTCAGATTTGAACTTTTCTGGTTTTGTTCCACACTTTAGGGCAGTGTTTCCCAAAGTTGGGGTCGGGAGCCAAAGTGGGGTCCCAAAACATCAAGGTGGGGTCCTGAAAAGATTTTCTGAATTATTTATATTTTTGCCTTAGTTGTTACAAAGGAGTGAGGTTAGTATATTTAAAACGGATAAATGTAGTATAAAAATATTGTTACTATGCCCATGTTTAGTTGACCTGATACAAATGTTTATTATCTAAAAATAGCTGGGGTCACAGGTCTCTGCTACTGTTATTTTGTGGGTCAAAAGCTGAAAAGTTTGGGAACCACTGCACTTTGGTTCCCAAAGTTGGGCTTGGGACCCAATTATGGGTCATGAAGCACCTTGGATAATCTCCAGAAATCAATTTAAAGGGTAATAAAATAATTGCTGATGCAATATTTTCCCTATAATTATTACAAAAACACAAAATACGTATAAATAAGTTTTTATATTTGTGTACAAACTGTTGATTGTCAAAAAGCCTGTGTTTTGAGGGTTCGTGTACTCAGACCATGATATTTGGGGTCACAAGTTTTTGCCAAGAACATTTTGTGGGTCAGAAGATAAAGAGTTTGGGAACCATTGCTTTAGGGGGGAAATGCACAGTTAAGATGAGCTGATTTCAAAATAAAAGTTAAAAACTTTCTGATAATTCTCTAAAACATCCTTATAAGACTACGGCCTCCTCTCTGAGACACTGTGGCACATCGAGCCGTTTCCTCGGGTTCATTCAGTTAGAAACAAGTCTGTGTGAGTCTGTGTGAGTCTGAGTGGGTCTGTGTGAGTCTGTGTGAGTCTGTGTGGCTCGACACGCTCAGGGGAGTCCACTGCAGGAACCCTTCAGGGATCCGCTCAGATCCAAGCGGGGCTCCGTGTTTACACTTTTATTTTTGCTCCAGTAAAGAACAAAGGGGCGCTGGGGTCGGACACATAATCTGTCCTTCATCTTCCACTTTCTTGCTGTCCTTGAGCGGGACTGACTGTCTGCGCTGACCCGATTCTGTCCTCTGGGAGGGAAATGATGTGAGACAGAGTGTGACATCTTCACCAAACATGCTGAAGACCTGAGTGGGTCTGCAGCAGAACTCACACACTTTGTGTGTAAAACTGCAGGTTTTAATTACAAACATGCTCCTCTCTGTAACATTTGTGCTGAGCGATGTATTTAAAATATCAACGATACTGATATCACAAATAAATTGTAGCTCATTATTTTATAAGTCAATCCAGCGGATTCACTTGCTTTCATGACCACACCTGGTTCAGATGTTTGTCTTTACTGTCATCTCAATATTAAACAACAATATTGTGCAGCCCCAGTGAAAACTACCTAAATGTGCACATTCAAGCGCCAAAACAGCCCCGAACCACTGACAGCAATTAGCAGCGAGCAGCTTTGCCTCATTTCGGTTCCCATTTTAAATCGGCGCCAGCGCGCGCCTCGTGCACGGGCCGTGCATCAGAATAAACAAGTGGAGGCGCTCCTCTTCACAAACACGTTTCCACTGAACCTCTTTGGCACCAACTGACCCGTCGTTAATCCAACACAATGCAACAAATGTAGCGGCAGCCTCAGAGCGGCTCGGGGTGTCGGTGGACAAACAGCACAATTAAAGCACAGAGACAAAGGAGGGATTTCACTGCGGCTTTGGTAAATTAATCTGGAATATTAAGCAGAATAGTGCCGCAGGTGGTCACTGGTTATTTACCCACAACAGCAGCAGTGAAAGCCTGTTTGGAAATGTAAAACCTGACAACTTTACGCGCAGGATTCATCAGGAGGATCTTCTCATTTGACCTTTAACTTCATTAAAACACTCACTGATGGTCAGATCTGCTTCTAAATACACAGTTTTATTGCAGTTTGAGTAAATATTGTGTAATTAGGAAAGTGACCACAAAATATCTTAAATTTCTATAACGTTTAAGTAAAAAGTTGTATTTGTTTTGTTCGCGGTCTAAAGGGTTCTGGAGACCAAAAAAGTCCACAAAGTGATGGGTTGGTCACTTGTTTCAAAATAACATTTATAATTTTAAACTTAACTGTCAGTTTAGATGGACAGTTTGGAGTTTGGCACATTTTTACGCACGGACGCGCGCTCCTGTGCCAAACACGTCCCCACTCCCACAGATCACACCAGCAGAACGCGCCGCTTACCTTCCCTCCTCATGCCGACTTTGAGGCACTTCTTCAGCCGGCAGTACTGGCACTGGTTCCGGTGGTGCTGGTCGATGGGGCAGTCTCGGTTCCCCCGGCAGGTGTAGGTCAGGTTCCGCCTCACGGAGCGCTTAAAGAAGCTCTTGCATCCCTCGCAGGTGAACTGGCCGTAATGCTTCCCGCTGGACTTGTCCCCGCACACCATGCAGTCCACGTTGGGGATCTTGTCCCCGGAAAGCGCGTCGTTCCCCGGGGTGGACCCGTTGGGAGTCCCCGGTCCCCCGCCGGGCTCCTGGCCGCACATCTGGAGCTGAGAGGCCGGATCTGCCGAAATGTTCTCTGGCCACTGGTTTACTACCATTGCCATGCTATCCCCAAACCTTTGATCTTTGTTTAAATCGCAGAAGAAGAAGTCAGAGTGATAAGAGGTCCTGACGGTAAGTTGGGAAGAAAAGCAAGAAGAGCAGAAAACAGGTCAGTCCGAGCTCAGTGGGTGAAGTTAGAAATTTTACTTAATTTGTTCAAACATTTATCAAAGTTTACAGAAACTGCGGGGCATCAACATGATCGACGTGCAGCAGCAGAGCCTCCTCTCTGCGCACAGATCCATAAACACGGTGCTGTTCGGAGCGGAACCTCAGTCCAGTCAGCGAATAAAAACCATCAGGTTTCTGATTGTCCTTTGATCCTGACCTGAAGGGGAAAAGAGCAAGAGGACACTTTCCCTCAGTCACGCGCTGCACCACAGTCGTTTTCTTAAAAAAAAAAAAAAAACCAGCTCTTAAAGCACTGGTTTATTTTAAAACCACATGGTTACTGGTTGAGTTCGTCCCGGCGGCTCCTGAGGAGAGTTCGTCCAGATCCTGGTTCCGCGTCGTGTTGCGCGCCGCGGTCAGACTGTGCGCGCTCAGGTGTTAATTTACCGAACCACACAGTTACACACAAACAGACACACACACACACACCACAGGACTCTCCTCCGCGCTCCGCAGATAGCCGTCCCTGAAGGCAGGTTCGGGCAGAACCAGACGCAGCGGTTCGGTGTCGCTTTGCCCTCCGAGTGCCTGGCTCGTGTTTGAGAGTCAAAGCTTCAGTTTGTGGAAACTGTCAGCGGCAGGAGCCCCCACCCTACCTACCCC